GTTGTGATAATGATTGATGAAGTGGGTATACGTGTGCTTGGTGGTGGAAAACCCTATATTATTCTGATTATCCACTTTAGGTTCATAGACCAATCCATGAGGTTTTAGCCCTGTGATAGCGGCTAGCTCAAAAAGAGTGTGTGTCATCATCCCACAAGGAAGGTGAAAGATGTAGTGGGTACTATCCCAGAAATATAAAGAAGAGGTCAGGAAAATGGGGTAGTAGGTGGGACCTGTCTTCGACATCATGATCAAATCATAAATCCCAATTTTCTTCCAAGCTTCTGCCTTGACCTTCTCAACTTTGGTCAACCAATTCAAATAAAGGTCAGAATCTTTAAAATAGGGAGTTGCTCTAAACAGCCTGGATCCATCATTCAAATATTTTAGGTCTACATTGTGTAAAGCTATAATATCAGGACCTTTAGTGGCTACTTTTGTTTGATCTTTCTGCCTTAAAGGTTTAGTCTTGCGATAAGAGGGAAAGAAGTCGCTAAGGGTTGAATAATTTGTTCCTAAGGGAGATAGGGGACCAGCTAAAGCTAAGGGTTTACCTGAAACAGTCACGAGAATCATTACCTGTGATTCGTAGATATGTCTCTTCTCTTCTATGAGAAGTTCAAGAATGAACTGTTGGTTCTTCACCACTTTGGGCCCGCTTAGTGTAGCAAAGGGAGGAAGAAAAGACACACTCTTTTGCCCTTTGACCTTTGGGTTTTTCTTCCGATCTTGAGCAACAGCAATGGAAGATGCCATTGTTAAAGGTTTAGTAAAAATGGGTTTACTGAAGAAAAGTTGGGAGTGTTTGAAAGAGATGCGTAGTGATTGCTTGGAGTTGGGAAAAAGTAGAAATGATTTATGAGGAGATTATTTATAAGACGTCTGGAAGTAATCAAAGGTCACTATCCATCATTGAGGGCTAAGAAGTAGTGGGACACGTGGCCTACTAGGAGTGAAAGTGGGGGCGGTGGCAGTTATTACCTATACCCACGATTTCATAGGACCTAGGAGAGATGATGATGGTCTGGGATTTGGTGGAATTTCCAAGAAATTATTCCATAATTGGCCATGACGTCATGGACGTGCTTGAAAAGTAACTAAACAGTTTCTTTTAAGTCATGGGTGGTCAGTTACGTTGACACCAACGTGGGGGTCGAAAGGTGGCGTCGAATAAGACATTATCAAAAAATAGCCTTTTTCTTCAACATTGTCGAAAAAGACATTTTTGGGGGCAATTTGTTAGCTCACAAATTCGACACCCACATTTAATTGGAGTGTTTGGCTGAAATGTTGAGTTTTCGAGGTAATATGGAGAAGTCTTCGAGTGGATCTTTATAATAAACGAAATTGAAGACATTCAAATAAGAAAGGAAGACTTTTTAGGACTTAGAAAATATTTCTAAGGTTACAGAAGTCACCTTCGACTGAAGAACGCTGGCCAAATAACTAGCAGAATTTGAAATTCAAATAAAGGAGGGAGTAGCTATGCTTTCTCATTCCTGAATGAGACAAGTGACGCACATCTAAGAGGCAACTGCATGCAGCACGACACTTCTCAGAGGCTGATTATTTTGAGCAGTTAACAACAGTTAATTTTACTATTATAAATAGGGGTTCTAGCAATAGGATTCAGTGTGTTGTGTTTACTATTGTACAAGTCACTCCAAATTTATTCAAAGTATCCGTGTGTAGAGAAACGAGTTCAGGGAGAATGTACGTAATGTAAAAACACCATTTCTAGGTTTTAATGAAATTTACTTTCACTTTGTATTAAAGAGTTCATCCTTTATTTTCCACCAATTTACATCTTTAGCGTTACGCTTTGTAGCTGTCAAGCCTTTTTTCAACAAAGTTGTTTACCTTATCTTTCAATTTAATATTCTTACATTTCCGTCGAACCACACATTTAAATTGACTTTTCTTCATAGACACTGTCAAAGTGTTTAGCCTTTAGTTTTTTTTTATATTAAAAATTTAGCACATGTCCTAGGATCAATCTGGTAGATCCTGTGAGTCACCAAAGTTAGATTTGAAAGATAAGCGGTTATTTTCCAATTTTCACGGGAAACACATCCATTCTAGAGCGGAATCCACTAAAGTCTTAAGCTTTCCTTTGTCATTTTCCTCCATTTGGAAAAGGTTTGCACCAAGAGGGGTTATCTTAATTGTAAAATAACCTTTTGATTGAAACTTTTATTGCATATTGTATGTCATTCTCTATTTTATTACTACTTTTGTAAAAGCTTTTTGAAATCGAGTTAGGCATTCATCCTCAATTTTGAACTGCAGGTGTAAAAAAATTGACTTTTCTTTTTCTTTTGCCTTCCAATTCACCCTAAATCTTTCATTCTTCCAGTCAGTATCAGTGTTGTGGACAACTTGAGCATATGATTTTATCTTGACATTTGCACACTCATTGGTTTGCATCCTTCCAAAACCAGACCTTTCATTACCCCTGCTCCAACCATGAGTATTCCTATTATATCCAGTGTTCTTATTATTTCCACTTTAAAACCCCTGATTGTTTTGAATCCCGTCTCTTTTGAACCGTCGGATGTTGACATATAACTTACAACCTTTTATGAAAATGTTATCCAAAACCGCAACCATCAATCTAACATTTTCCATGTTTCTAAGTCTGATGAATCCATATCTATTACCTCGCTTATCTCTTCTCGGAGGAATGACTACTTCATCGATAATATATATCGTAGTTTTTGAAAATGTTAAACATCTCCCTTGCATCATGCGAGTCAGGAAAATGAGTAAAGAAGAAATACAAAATTACTTTCTCTGAACCTTTACATTTTCCTTTGAAAGAATCCCAACGAGAGCCAGTCACTACTACAAAAAAATATAATTACGGTCTGCCATTATTTTTTATTTTTGCCTCATATTTTTCCTGACTACATTGATAACTCTAATCACAATATATAATAAAATATTTTTAACACAACAACGACAACAAGAACAATAACAAGAATAACAAGAACAACAAGTAGAACAACAACAATAACATCATCATCATCATCAACGACAACAACAACAATAACAAGAAAAACAAGAACCATAACAACAAGAACGACAATGAGAACAACAACAAGAACAACAAGAATAACAACAAAAACAAAAACAAAAACAAAAACAAAAACAAAAACAAAAACAACAACAACAACAAAACGACAACAACAACAATAAAAAGAACAACAACAACAACAAAAACAAAAACAAATTAAATAAATTAAATCGTTAAACAAGAAAATTTTACCTGACACAATAACAACTAACGTTTCTAAGTTGAATCCATGATTTTCATGCCTCTTTCAATTTGAAAAAGAGATGATGGAGTTTCGAAACACGTTGATGGAATAAATGTGTTTAAGTTTCGATTTATGGAAGAAATTATGTTTTCAAGTTTGATTTAGTTGAAGAATAATATTTTGTAAATGGAAGAAGTTTGGAGGAAAAAGATGAAGTTTGTCTAAGTACGGTCTAGTCATGGGTTCGGATCTCAACACCAACGTTTTTTATTTTTTACTTACTTTTAAGCTGCTTTTCACCACGATTGACATTCCAACCATGGTGAAAACTCGCCCTTCTTATTTTTTTAAAGATGTATAAACGCTACGATCGTGGTGAAAAATGACTTAAAAATAAGTATAAAACCCAAAAATATTGGTGTTAGGATTTGAAACCATGATCAGATGCCACTTTTCACCACAGTTGGAATTTAGTGACGACTTTCTACTTTTCACCACAGTTGTTATTAAGGATCGTAGTAAAAAGTCTTTTAATAAAACAAAAAAATGCAGGCGCGCCTAAATTTCCACTATTACTTCAGTTGATTGAATATCCATGGTAACATGGGTGTTGTTGTATATACTTTTTGTAGTAGTGAGTATCATGACGTTGGTTAGAAGTTTTACGAGCAACTTTAACCCAACCTTCATCATCCCCGAGTCTATCTTTATAATTTATCACCATGAAAACTACACACTTAAAGCTTCAAAAAAGGAAAAAGAAAAACCTAATATCACAACTGCAGAACGAAAACCTGTTGCTTAGGTTCCTAATTCAAAGATTAAGACTTTAAATCTCATAAACATGATTCAAGTTCATAATGTAGATTAACATTAAAGAATATTCAAACTTTTGCTTGTAATGTTCACACTTTAATTAACAACTTAGTTTGCAAGATTCCATGGAATTTGAAGACTTTAAACTTAGATTTCATTATTTTTGATAAGAGGACATGTGATTCGTGGTTCAATCACATCACGGTTGTTTGGAAAATCATCGACTGTTGCAGTTGAGTGTAGCGTATGTATCCTGACAACTGAAAACTTATCCTAATCTTCTCTCATCTCTTCCTCATTTCTTTTTAAAAAATTTCCTCTCTTTTTTTCAAATCATCGTGCGACGGAATTGTCTTACAACTAAAAGGTAGTTAAATCATTCGAGTGAAAAGTGAAGGAAAAAAAATCTTGAATAAAAAAAAAGTAATTGAATCTTTTTTATTAAGATGGATTCCAACAAATATAGTTTATAATACTTTAAATAAAATATTAAATGTAGAATTTATATATATATATATATATATATATATATATATATATATATATATATATATATATATATATATATATATATATATATATATATATATATATATATATATATATATATATATATATATATATATATATATATATATATATATATATATATATATATATATAAACAAACCATAATATTACAGTAAAAAAAAAAAAAAAAAAACAAGATATGATAATATATTAAACGGTTAAAAACAGATGCACGTTTTATATATATATATATATTGATTGATGCCAATGTTGTCCTATGTGTGATGACACAAAGAGGACAAACGTAGAGCCAAAGAAGGAAAAACCATTGAAGAACAAGAAATTGTCGCTAAAAGATAGTGACATACGTATATATAAAAATAGATCATTAGAGAAATGATCATGAACGAAGCTATGGAAGAAGGTTCAGATAATAAGTGGGAATGGAGAAGAACAAGAACAACGTTAATGGAGGAGCTGAAGAAGATGAGTAGTATAGCAGGACCAATGGTGGCAACGACCGTGCTGCAATATCTTCTGCAAGTGGTTTCAGTGATGATGGTTGGACATCTTAATCAGCTCTCTCTTTCAAGTGTTGCCATTGCTACATCTCTCACTAATGTTTCTGGATTTAGTATTCTGGTAACTTCTTACTTCATTCATTTTATCATCATTAGTTTTCATCAATAATTTTGTTATGCACTACATATTACCATTACCATATTATTAAAATAGACATGGCAGAAAATATATAATACATAAGCATCCCTATAATAATGCCAATAACAAATATCCAATCCTTCTGATATCCATGATTTCATTTTTATTATTTTCTATATCACGTTTTTCAGCCCCTTTTTGTTAAATTTTATTATTATTATTATTATTATTATTATTATTGTTATTATTATTATTATTTATTTAGTTTATTTTTTAAAAACTTATTAATTTATAAATATTTATATTTATATATAAATATAAATAAATATTATTTTTTAGAATTGAAACCTCAATTGACTGTTTACAGCAATTTAACTCAACTAAAAAAATATAGGTTGAATTATCACACCTCTACTATTTAATTCGTTTATAAATATATGTTTGAATTATATCTAAAAATCAGTATTTAATGCACATTTTTCAAATACAGAACCAAAATAAAATTTCATTTCTGTAGAATAGTTGTTGAATTCTCTAAATTACAATCATCATAATATAATTTGTTTATCCTTTAAATTATATATATATATATATATATATATATATATATATATATATATATATATATATATATATATATATATATATATATATATATATATATATATATATATATATATATATATATATATATATATGTGTGTGTGTGTGTGTTTATACACAGAAAAATCTCACACATAAATAATAAGAGAAAGGTTTTGTAAATTATTAAGGAGGTTTTCTAGAACTCGTGTTTTGAATATTTGAATTTTAAAATCTAAAGAGAATTTAATAAAGAAATTAAAGAATAAGAAAAGAGACTTACAATATAAAATTATTATTAATAACCTTCTTTCCTTGTATTGGGCCAAATTACCTTTTCGCAATGTTACTAAGGTATAGTTTGGCTTTTTTGTATATTTTTTTAATTTACTTAAAAAGGACGGGGCAGAATCTCAAATTAATTCAGATTTTTATAGTAAAGTTTTTTCAATATTTGAGAAAAAGTCATTATTAACTTATTAAAATTATATATTTTCATAGTGAAAAAGTGACTGCAGCAGAACAATTACAAGATTCATTTTACGTTTACAAACAAACAAGATACATTACTACTTTCTCTATCTCATATTAAATTTAGTAAAGGTTTAGCATATTTCAACAAGCAAAATAAAATTGGTTGTACTAATTTTTTTTATAAATATTCAAAATTAATCCATAACCATGAGAGTTCGTACTCAATCATATATTTATTTTAATATTAAATTTTTTTTAGAGATTTAATTGTGCGTCCGATCTTTTATTTGAGAAATTAATTTATGCTTTTGTGAGTATAAGATATCTGATTTTTATCGAAAAAATTTGTTTGCAATGTGTTAACTTGATTCTTTCTTGGCAATTTTTCTAGTCAGGGATGGCTGGTGGCTTAGAAACTTTATGTGGGCAAGCTTATGGTGCTGGACAATTTGAAAAATTTGGAATGTACACATACACTGCCGTAATATCCCTTACTATGGTTTGTGCACCAATAACTATTATATGGATTTTCATGGACAAAATCTTAATTCTCATAGGCCAAGACACCACAATCTCCCTTGAAGCTCGAACGTACGCACTTTGGTTAATACCTGCCTTATTTGCCTCTGCAATTCTCAAACCTCTAACACGTTTTTTCCAAACACAAAGTTTAATTTTCCCAATGATAATCAGCTCCTTTCTAGTTTTGTGTTTCCATGTAGTTACTTGTTGGGCTTTAGTATTTAAATTGGGCTTAGGACATATTGGTGCTGCAATTTCCTTTAGCTTAGGAACTTGGTTGAACGTGTTGATACTTTTGTGTTTTGTCAAATATTCATATGCTTGTGAGAAAACACGAGTTTCGTTTTCCACAAAGGCTTTCATTGGTGTTAGAGAGTTTTTTGGTCTTGCTGTTCCTTCTGCAGCTATGGTCTGGTAATTACTTATTCGCGCGCTCTCTCTCTCTGACTCTTTTTAAAATGATATATTACTGTCTACCGCGTCATTGCTCTTACGAGGTATTGAAATGTACTCTGAAATGTTTGTATTATAGTCTCAAATGGTGGGCATGTGAGTTGCTTGTTTTGCTGGCTGGACTTTTTCAAGATCCGAAGTTGGAGACATCGGTTCTTTCTATATGGTAACATTTATTTTGATTTCTGGATGGAATATGGATATGGTTACTATACTTTAGAACAAAATGAAAGCACTGATATATAACTTTTTCTTGTGTATGTATTATGACCAGCTTGACAATATCTACATTGCACTTCACCATATCCTACGGCCTTGGGGCTGCTACTAGGTTTGTTTCTGACAATATTTTAACATGTAAACATAGTAAAATTAAAAGTGACTCATTTGTTTTATGCGACAGCACACGAGTTTCAAATGAATTAGGAGCTGGAAATCCAAAAGCAGTTCGTTTTTCGGTTTGTACAGCAACAATCCTTGCAATTTCAGAGGCTCTTATTGTAACCGCAATCCTATTAGGTTGCAGACATATCTTAGGTTATGCTTACACCAATGATAGTATGGTTGTTCATTATGTGGCTGTTATGACCCCTTTGTTATGTGCATCGATTTTTACGGATAGTTTGCAAGCAGTTCTTTCAGGTTATAACAACTTTTCCTTACACTGTTTTACTGTTATTTACATGTTGTAGAGTTATGAAATTATTAGTTTTTAATATTCAGGGGTTGCTAGAGGAAGTGGGTGGCAACATGTTGGAGCCTATGTGAATCTTGGGGCTTTTTATCTAGTAGGAGTTCCTATTGGTGTAGTGTTAGGCTTTGTTGCACATTTCAGAGCAAAAGGCCTTTGGATTGGAATAGTTTCTGGCTCAATTGTCCAAACAGTTTTCCTTTTCATTATTACTGCTCTTACAAATTGGAAAAAACAGGTTCACATTTGATAAACTTGATTAACATTATCTAGTATGTATATTTTTTACTGATACAACTATAGGAATATGTGGTTATGTGTTAATAATACAAGGTGTGTTCAATTTTTGTAGGCAATGATGGCTAGAAAGAGAATATTTGATGACTCTTCTTCTGATGAATGTATAACAGATCAGAAGACCAGTGTATAAAGTTAGTTATTGGCTAAATTGTACAACAATCATTAATCTCAATTTCTTTCATTTGTTTTTGATGAAATTGCCATAATTTTATTGAGATGCAAATGACTTGTGTAAAATCAAATTACTTCCATTATTTATTTCAATCGAATCCAAATGGGGCTATCTCTCTTTGTTGGAGTTAAGACTAAACTCTTCTAACAATACACAAGAACGGAAGAAGAAGATGATGAAAACTCTCTCTCACACACACAGGGAGAGAGAGTTTTCAAAATTTCAAAATGCAGAATATTGTTACAAATTGTAACTAATTTGGGTTTATATACATTCACCTAAATTCAAACATAAACAAAATTCAAACGCAAACTCAAATGAAATGCAAATTCAGGTGACTTGAATTTGAATTACATTACAACACCGTCCCTTAATTTATATTCAAGATTCAAATTCAACAACTCCAACTCCATCTCTCAAATTGATGAAGTGTTCAGTTTTAATCATCTTGATAAACACATCTGCAAGTTGCTTCTGAGTGCTGACATGAACAACCTCAAGTACTCCATGAACTTGATTACAAACAAAGTGATACGTAGTATCGATGTGCTTGCTTCTTCCATGCAGCACAAGATTCTTAACAAGACTTGTGGCAGATTTGTTGTCAATTATCAATCTGACTAGTTTGCTCATCCTAAACTTCAATTCTTGCAGCAAATTCATCAGTCAAACAGCCTAACAAGTTGACAAAGCACCAACAATATATTTAGCTTCACATATTGACAATGAAATCACTGGTTGCCTCTTGGAGCACCAAGAAATATAGGAACTCCTAGATACATGAACATGTACCTTGTAGTACTTCTTCTGTCTACTCTGTCACCACACCATTGAGAGTCTGAATAGCATATGAGCTCTGCATCATCTGACACCCCAGAAGGAAATTTCATGCCTCATATTCCCATTTACACACCTCAGAATCTTGATTGCGCCTTGATAATGTGACCACTTTGGTTTAATCATAAACTTATTTTCCATTCCAACTCCATAACATATGTCATGCCTCGTGTTACACAAATATCTTAGAGATCAAACCAATTATTTGAAGGTTGTAACATCTACATCCTCGCCATTTGTATCAGAGTCCACTTGTGATTTATCTCAGCAGGTGTGACTTATGAATTACAATTCATTATCTCAAATCTCTTTAGTAGCTCAAGTTCATACTCCAATTGGTTCGCAATGATTCCCTTATCAGAGTGGAAAATCTCCATCCATAAAAAATATACCAAATTTTCAAGTCAGTTATATCCAATGCATTCATCAACACCTTTTTGAACTTGTTTATCTCAGAAGTACGACACTCTGTCAGAAGTATGTCATCCACATAAAGACACACCATAATCACATTGCCATCAGAAGTATGTTGCACATACACACCATATTCTATGTCACATTTCTTAAATCCCAGATGCTTGAAAAATGAATCAACTTTCATATTCCAAGCCTTTGGAGCTTGATTCAACCCGTACAAGGCTTTATACAGCTTGTACACCATCCCTTTTTTTGTTCTTTTTCAAAAATCAAGGAGGTTGTAACACATAAACTTCTTCTTACAATGGACCATTAAGAAAAGGTGAATTTACATCTAAATGTATCTGAGGAGAATTCCTATTTGCAGCTATAGAAATAACCAATCTTATGGTTTCATGTCTAGCTACAGGTGAAAACACTTCTAAGTAGTGTAAACCAGACTTTTGTAGAAATCCTCTAGCTACTAACCTTGTTTTATGCTTGGTAACTGAACCATTTGGCTTCAGTTTTATCCGATATGATGTTTAATAAACGAGAGAGAGAGAGAGAGAGAGAGAGAGAGAGAGAGAGAGATCTTAAGATTGATTAGCATTTATTAAAGAAAAGATTTTAAAAATGCACTTGACAAAGTCAAGTTTTATTTAAAAAAAGTTATAGTTTGAAAGAAGAATATTTTGAAAATTTAAGAATGGGAGAGAGATGAAGAGACTATCCTAAAGCATAAAATAAAAGTTAGGAACAAAGAAAGATCTAACCAAGAGAAGATGGTAAGCCCCATGACATAAGTCAATCAATAATTCTCTCCTTTGGATTAAGCCTTCAGCAAGCCAAATAAGCAATAACAATTTAAGTATCAGATGATATCAATAATAACCAAGATGAGTATTCAAGAGAATCCTTAAGCCAAGGGCACTAGATGAATCCAAATAGGTCGTAAGATGTACTTCCAACCAAAGGTCAAGGTCTTAATTCTAAGTCTATAACTCCTCAATAATGCATAAGGTAGTAACATCAAGTCTATGAAAGTAACCAAGTTTTTTAGGAGTTTTGATATTTATTAATGTTTTAAGGAAAAGTGCAAATGGGAAAAATAAAAAGAGCATAAGTATAAACACAAGTCCAAATAAAAAAAAAAGAAGCAATATGATAATATGATATAAAATGTTAAAGTAAAAGCATAAATTAAATTTCAATAATTAAAGAGTATAAAATAAATGAATTTAAAGGAAAAAAATAAAATAAAAAGTTAGCAAGTTAGTGATTAGAAAAGAAATATCAATTTTTTATTTTTTGGAGAACACTCAACTAGACATCTATAAGCATGAAAATATGGTCTTATACATTACTAAAAGAAGGGCTCCAACTTAGATAAAATCAACAAGTATGTCACTAGCTCTCATAGGTAATAAAAGATCCAATATATTTCACATAATACCGGAGAATATAAAATTGACAATTTCAATTACAAAAATGACTTAGTTTTCCATTCGGGACAAATTTAGCGCTATGTTAAGCAATCATAGCATAACCTATAAGGAAGGTCATACTATGGGAGGCCGGTCAATAATAATTTATGTGTAAATACAAGCTAGAGAAATGACATGTAAGTCATTCTCCTAAAGTTTGTCACACAAAAAGAAGAAGAAAAAAAAGGAATGGTCTCATTTTAATCAAGAACTCCAAAAGCTCCATGATGTTAAAGATATTTATCAACCAAAAGAGAAAGAAGGGAGATAAAGAAGAGGCAGTAAGGAAACCAAAACAGCAAAATGAATCCTAGGATTGATCAAGTTATCATCAAGATCAATCATCCACTTTGGTGGATTAAGCTTTTCACCCCATCAACACCCAAGATCCATTGAGATTGATGAAACTTGACTAAATCAACCAAGATTCAAGTAAAAAAGAAGCCAATAAAGGTCAACAATCACAAAAATGCAATAATATGAATTAACATGCATCAAAATGGTTTTAAAAATAAATTTTAAAATGAAAATAGACATGAAAATGCAAATGATGAATCGAACAAGATCACAAATGACCAAGAAAAACCCAGAATGTCAGAAACAATGCAACAATGCTATAGAAAATTTTTTAGAATTTTTAAATGCATAAAAATATTTTTAAACTATTTAAAATGCAAGGAAAAAGCTAAAAATCATGAAAAATATAAAAAAAAAAATAATAATAAAAATATGAAAATATATCATCAGAAAGAGAAAAATAAAAGAAAATTTTAGAAATTATTTTGGTATTTTTTGAATAAAAAATGAAATTACTATAAATTTTTAAATAATAATTTAATTTAAAATAAAAATTAGAAAAGAAAATAAAATAGAAAAAACCCATTGAATAAAAAATGCTTCACCACTCCCTTTATGCGGTAGTCGACTACTCGTTCTCGATCTAACCACTGGACCAGAGCACATCAAAACTGTTATTGATTCCACCACTGAATCAACAAGGCTTCACTGATCCCACCATAGGCATCAACTACTCGCTCCTGATCCCACCACTGGACCAAATTCTATACATCATGATGCATGACACATGCAACTATACGCCAAATAATAAGGCAATTATAACAACGCTTCATGCTCAATTATAACTCACCATTGTATAATTTATATACACATGGCAGCTACAACATACATCCATAACTCACACATCAATTCATCATCACATAACACCATTTATGCATAATATTAATTTATCAACAACATTCATCAACATCAATGCACTAATGCATATCAACATTTATGTCACCTCATAATTCGTCAACAATTAATCATATAGTCATTTGATAAAATTCAGAACATATCGATTCACGCCAAAACACATCGAAAATTATAAAACAACATCAAATAATTATTAGGTTCATAAACAACATTGAACTTTGAATTGGCACGTCAAACTGACTATCCAGACCATGACGGTCTGTTTACAGGCCATGGCGATCGTCATGGGGATGGCGACCAGCCCTTCATCCTTTCACTTCGTCCGACATCATTCCACCTCGTCCATCATCCCTCAAGAGACTCTGACGGTGTTCCCGTCATTTAGCTGGCGGACATCAGCCTTCCCAAACGCGCTGATGAGCTACCCGTCGCGCAAGTGACAGTCGTCACCCCCGTGCAGAATGCAAAAGCTTGTTTTCTATCATTAGATCTCATTCAAAACTCCGATTTCACACCCAGAACACTCAAATCAAACAGAAGCGAATCATATATCAATTGTAACACATGGACATGTTAATTTCACACAAATTCACAATTGATTTCACCAATTTATCATGAATTAAGCTCATGCTCGTGAAAACTCAAACACACTAATTAGCAACAACAATTTGTAGATTTCACATGTTTTCACCATGAACTAATTTAACATAATACAATACAAAAATCTCATATCAAAATAAACATTCAAAAAAGATTCATCATAATATTATATCAAACATATACATAATCAATTGGGAAAAAGAGAGAAAACCTAGAGGAGGATCTTGGAGTCGTCACTACCCTTTCGTGAAATTAACACCCTTAATTAAGTATCCCCCTCTTACCTTAGATTTCCAGCTAAAGCATTCTAGCCATGGCTTCCTCTTTTCTTCCTCAAGCCTTTGCTCTTTCCCTCCAAAAGTTCTTTTCTCAATTTCTCACGTACTGCTCAAACTATCTAAAGCTCTCCTAATCCCATCACATAAT